TGAAATGACCAGGTTTGCCATAATTTCAACATTCAACCTGCTTTCACGGTACCTAGATTTTGATCTGCCTCTAGATAAGCCTCTATCTAGTCTCCTCCCTCGAGTGTTGATGGTGAGAGCTAAACTTGAGCTTAAGCTTTCACCCGAGTCTTTCCTTCGTACTTCTTCAGCAAAAATCAGGTCTCGGATGTCGTCATCTTTCAATTTGGATTTTCCAAGTGAGTTACTTACGGCTATTCTCATACTTTCCCAACTGCTTCGAAGTGAAGCTAACAAAATGAGTGCACAGATCTCATTATCAAACTCAATCTCAACATATGACAATTGATTTATGATGGTATTGAAATTATTAAGATGTTGTGTAAGAAAGATGCTTTCTGTCATCTTTAGGTTGAACAACTTCTTCATCAAGTGCACTTTCTTATTTATTGGGGGCTTTTCATACATCCCAGACAAGGCTTCCATCAATCTTGCAGTGGATTTCTCTTTTGTAACATTATGAGCAACTCTTCTTGATAAGAATAGCCGGATAATATCCAAAACCTGTCTATCAAGAATTTACCAATCTTCTTTTGACATGTTTTCTAGTTTGCTCCCCAATAGAGGAAGATGAAGTTTCTTCCCATATAGATAGTCTTCAATTTGCATTTTCCAATATCCAAAATCTATTCCATCAAATTTTTCAATTCCAGCAGCCTTTATTTCATTTTCCATTTTTAATATTTCTCGGATTTAAATCTACCAAATCTAACCTTACAAATGTGTTTGGAATGGATAAAAATATTGAAAACGATATTGAAATCACCCAAATCGGACTTTGGATGTCTCAGATTTTATCAATCAAACTTTTGGATCATTGGACGTTGTAGATGAAGCCACGTGTTAGGAGGAATAGTCACTGTGCCACACTTGATCAAAACCCAGAATGTTGACGTGTCTGCCATGTGAGATATACAGGCCCACAATTATGACGTGGCAAATCCATGCGGATTTCAAATTGACGTGACGATGATGTCGTGTCAGATGAGGTGGTAGGTGACGTGGCTGCTGATTGTTTAGAGTTGCTTCTGTGGCTGCTGACTATATGTTGACGTGTCAGGTTAACCTGGTTCAGTTGCAGGAATCCGGGCGAAGAAGACGCGTGGAGAGCGTGAGGCGCGTCGGTGCGTGTGGACAGTGCAGTCGGCGATGCGTGTTGGCACGTGCAGGTATGCAGGACTTCGGTTCTTCATTGGGTTTTCACCATTGGATTCCTCTCGTCTTGCTCTTCATGATGGTATGTTCAAAAAGACGTTTTGAG